ACTAGAATGAAGAACAAAAGGACAGCAACTTGTCTGTTCCCCTTCCCCCAATTCCCCAGCGCTGTTCCCATCCCCCAATTTCCCAATAAAAATCTTTAAAAAAAAAAGATTTTTATTGGAGAATTAGGGAAGGAGAACATTGTGTTTTTCCAGGACCCATCAGCTCCAAGTCAAGTTGTCCTTCAGTCTTAGTTGTGCAGGGCGCAGCTCAGCTCAGCTCCAAGTCCAGTCACCACTTTTCAATCTATTGGGTTGTTGGAAATTCATGCATTTTTGCAACAAAAAACAGAGAAAATACGTCATGACTTTTCTGACAACCCAGTAGTTGCGGGGAGGCGGCGGGGGGGTGGGGTGGCGCAGCCCACCATCCCCTATGGGTGTTGAACTGGCAACCTTGCTGCTACATACACTTTTGCCAGCTCAGTGGCAACTCAGCTCAGGCGCAGCTCACTGGTCCATGTGGGAATTAAACTGGCGACCCTGTTGCTCAGAGCTCGCACTCTTAACCAACTGAGCTAACTGGCCGGCCTGAAAGAATTCTTAATATCACTGATCAGTTTTTATTTATACTATTAGATATTCAGAAACATAGTAAAGTATGAGACATGTAGACCCAAGCTTACTCAACTAATATTATTGAGGAATAGGTGATCGTGCCTGTCCGTCCTGGATGTTTTCCTAATTCCTCCCCCTTTCTGTTCATTTAAGAAGCCCTCTCTCTGTTCCAGGTGGTTCTAGTACTGTTGTTAAACATGGTCCACTTTCCTCCCCCACAGAAGAAGGCATGTGACTTGGGCTGCAACAATCCCCATTTGGCTAGAGCCTGGGGAGAAACAGTTGTCATCTGTCTTTAGGCTTGTTTATAAAGTTCAGTTCCACATACGTTTTAAATCTTTATGTAGTTAAATGTCTTGTCCTTTATGCATTCTGGTTTTCATTGTGCTTAGAAAGGTCTTTCCTACTCCAAGATTATGAAAATAATGTCATGTGTTCTCTGTGGCACTTGAATGATTTCATTTTTTAGTATTTAAATCAGAACTTGTAAGCTGGTGGCCCATGAGATAGATCTGGCCAACAGATGGGCTTTGTTCAGACCCTCACAGTGTGCTAAAAAGATAGATCTACCAACGTTTTTTTACAGAACAATCTAGACTTCCACCTTTGCTTGAAAATTTTAAGGTTGAACGGCATCGGGTTTGCGCTGCCATATAGAAACACTCAGAATTGAGTAGCCACTGCTCCTTTAGACAAGGCATGAGCTTTTTTTTTTTTTTTTTTTAAGCACTTTTAGGTTCACANCCTGCTGCTCAGAGCTGGTGTCCCAAGCCAACTCCTAACCAACACGCCACTGTGCCGGCCCAAACCTGCTCTCTTTTGATGTTACATCGCATCTCATGATGTATCCTAACTGATTTAGTCATTTATATGTGGGTATGTATCGGGTTGTTACCAGTTTTCTTACTAGTGTAAACAATATTTTATTGCACGTACCGTCTTGTAGATATGTGAATAAGAAAGATTCTTTGAAGGAGAGTTGCTAAACTGAAGCGTATACTAATTTCCTTTCTTAGCAGTGTTTTCGAATAATACTTTCCTGACCACAGCAGGCCTCCATTCTAACCTGATCTTATATCTGAGTTGCGTGACTACTACTCCATTCAGCTGTGCAAATTATACATCGGCACCTAAACAGCCTTTCATAGGCTGACTTAGGTCCTTTTGTGAGATACACCTGAGATAGTCAATCTGGTGGTGCATCCCGCTTACCCCTGCCTCTGTGGAAAGGATTGTGCCTTCCAGCAAAGCTGTGAATTTGAGTTGCACAGACAAGCCCCTGGCTGTGCTCACTGGCCAGATCCCTCAGAAAATATGTCTCTTTCACTTACACTACCCACCACCCAAGAAGCCACATGGCACCCAGGGGTTCAGTTGACTCCTTCAGACACTCTTGGCTTTGTCAGTCTATAGGACCATTTTTTTAAATGGATTTTTCTTTTTTTTTTTTTTTAAGCACTTTTAGGTTCACAGAAAAATTGAGCCTAAGGTACAGAGATTTCCCACAGACCTTCCTGCCCTCACACATTGCTTCTCCCATAATTGGCATCTCCCACTAGAGTGATGCACTTGTTACAATTGATGAACCTACATTGACACGTTATTTGCAACAGAGTTCTAGGACCATTTTTTACTATAGATCTGTATGGCTTGCTCCTCACTTTCCTTTGTTTTTGCTCAAATATTATATTCTTTGACCATCCTAGATAAAATTGCAACACCCTACTTCATGTCCTCTTTGGCACTCTATACTTTCTCTTTGCTTTTCTCTATAGCACCTTTTAATATTTAATATCTGTATACTATGGTTTGCTTTTGTTTACCTCCCGTAGTTTATAAACTCAGTGATGGCAAGAGTCTGTTTCCTTCACTCTCTTAGTCTCTGTACCTGGCTTAGAGTAGATACTCAGGAAATATTTGTTGGCGCAGTGAGTAAATGAACAAACAGGGAACTCAGGACCACTCTCAGGTTGGCATCCCTCAACAGCCCAACCTGCCTCCTCCCTCACTGCCCTCTCTGTCTCCACCTACTGGCCCTAGGGGTGGGCACTGATGGGCTGCTAGCAGGTGAGGTGTCGTATGGGGGACCACCACCACAGACTCTTTAGAAGCCTTTATAGCTTTAGGAAGATTAATGCCTAAATGAATGCCTACTATCTTACTGATCACTTACTGTGTGCCAGCCCTGCACATCAAGAGAAAGTGAGAGAGCAGCAGAAAGGGTTAGAGGGGAGAGAGAGAGAGAAAATTATGGGGGGTGGGGAGAAAGGGAAGTGGGGAAAAAGGATAGAGAACGAGGGAGAAAGAGAAACAAAAGTGTGGTAGAGAGGGAAAGTGAGAGAGAGGAAGCGGGGTGGGGTGGGATTTGAGTTGGGGAATTTAGAAAACTTGCCAAGGGGTCACTATAATAGCTGGTTGGAAGAATGTCCAACTCCAAAGCATTTTTGACCCTGAAAAATCCAGAGCTCTGCTTGTGTGAGTGTAACTAGAACATTTGCAGCATCCATGTTGCATTCTTTGTGGGGAGGAGATATGAGTGACAAATGATATCTACTCATAGGAAACACTGTAGTCATCAAGTCAGCAATTTTCATTTCATGCAGGGTGAGATTAAAGACTTTATCAAGGAGTCAAAGTAGAGCTGAAAGACTCTATACAGTGTTGCAACCTTAGCCAAAGTGTAACCGTTAGCCTCTTAAACACAGCAAGCAGCTAGAATTGTTACAAATTTAATGTAGAGTTTCCATTTGTATCAAATAGTTTGTTAAGTCTGTACTAAGATAATTTAGTAACATACTCTTTGCCTTAAGGATGTTTAAAAAAATAGAAACTATTTAAAGCAAGTTAGGATAAATGCAATAAATTTACAAACACATACAAGAAAGGGAAAAGGAAGCAGCTGTTGATAGTGTTAAACCATAGAGAGGTTGTTTCTAGAGATACACAAGATAGTATCAAGGCCATCTGCCCAGGTTGGATAACAACTTAAAAAAAAAAAAGCAGTAATGTTATGAGAGAATGCTCAAGAATTATTTTGGGATTAAGTACTTTTTTATGAGTGAAAGTAAAATCTTAAGATTGACTCTTACTGGGACCCACTTTTTAAATTTCATTAAGTGCTGAATTTTTATGTAAAGATCAATGTTGATTTTCTTTCTCTTGTATACTCTTTTACCTTTTTTTTTTAATTCTAGTGAGGATGCTGACACAATCTTGTAATCTCAGGCAAATTACTTAAAACTGAGTTTTAGTTTTCTTATCTGTAAAATGGGGTATCAGTATATGGATATTAGTATTTACCTTGGAAGTATATTGTAATGTTTACGTGAAATGTCATTTTGAAAAGGGCTTAACACAATGCTTGGCACATAGAAACTGGGGAAATGTTATTTCCTTTCTTCCTTCTCATGATAAATTTGTGCACCTTTTTTATTCTTGCTGAAATGGCTTCAAGTAGCAGCCTCAAAATTAAAAGTGTGTTTGGCCTATGATACATGCTAGCCAGTTTGCTCCTGCGACTTGGGAGTTGGTGAAGAACCAACTCAAGAGAATTCAAATGAGAGTTTTGAATTCTGTCTCCAGTAAGCTTTAGGGGTCAGGCATGCCTGAGATTACTTATGAGCTGATATTCACAGTCTGTTTTCTCTTTCAGATGAATACACTTGTCACTTTGCACTGACTGGCAGCAATGGCATTTACTGAAAGAGCCAACAGCAGCAGCAACAGGTAACTGTGAAATCCATAATTCAAAGATATGATATTTAATTTTATAACCTATTTTTCAAAGAATAAATTTGCTCCTTTTCATTTTTTTGCAACTTATGAACTCTCTGGTGCATAAAAATGTGTGAAAATTTTAGTTTTCCCTACATGAAGTCAAACCTGTTAGACTGGCTACATATTTTCTTTAAATTTAGTACTCTCTGAGTCTCAGCTCATTTTTTTAAACATGTGCATGTTATATTAGATCAGCATCCTAATTTGGTGTTCAAGGTACTGGTCCATATTGAGGAAAATATGAACATATTCAGCAGGTATTGAAACAAATATCATGATGAAATTCACCTTATCATGAGAACCTTGAAGGAGGGAATTCTGTCATAGTTAACATCTTCTGACTTTTACATCTCTCTCTCCATTAACTGCCTTCTTGCATATACTATGTGACCAGTGTTGGTAGAGTGGTGCATATTCACATTCTGAAGCAACTATTAAGAATAACTCATTTATGATAGCCAGAAAGAATTTTTTTTTTTAAAGATTTGTATTGGGGAGGGCCGGCTGAGTGGTGCATTGGTTAAGAGCTGGCTTGGGACGCCAGAGGGCTGCAGTTCAGATCCCACCTATGAGGGCCAGTGACACTGCCCTCTACAGCTAAGATGCTAAACAACAGCTCAACCTGGAGCTGGGCTGCCATAAGTC